CACCCGCGGTTTTTGAGCCATGGTTTTCCCGTCGGGTCTTAGGGCAAATGCCGAAGCAGGCGCTTGAGGAGTCCTCTTTTGAGGATGTCGGGACCATGGTAGATACCCCCCTCTTGTCCGAAGATTCGCTCCCTTTTGAGATGCGGAGATGCAGCAGCTTCGAGTATTTCCGAGAATAAGGCGAACTACGGGGGACGGCTACTGTAGTTTCAAGATGTATCAAAGTCGATTGGGTTCTGGATTTTAACGGTGCTCGGTAACTTGCAGCAGCAGCTCAGGGTAGAGCAGGAAACCGTTTTTGTGCCCCAGAGTCGACATTGGATGTTTTTGTCAAACGGGTTCGATGGCAGTATCTTGTATATTCCTGGAGGGTGTGTGATTGGGGCCGATAAATAATGGCGCTCGGTAACCTGTAGCAGCAGCTCAGGGTAGAGCAGGAAGTCATTAAGGCACCCTGGAGTCGACGTTGGATGTTCTTGTCAAACGGGTTCGATGACAGTATCCTGTATATTCCTGGAGGGTGTGTGATTGGGGCCGATAAATAATGGCGCTCGGTAACCTGTAGCAGCAGCTCAGGGTAGAGCAGGAAACCGTTTTTGTGCCCTGGAGTCGACGTTGGATGTTCTTGTCAAACGGGTTCGATGACAGTATCCTGTATATTCCTGGAGGGTGTGTGATTGGGGCCGATAAATAATGGCGCTCGGTAACCTGTAGCAGCAGCTCAGGGTAGAGCAGGAAACCGTTTTTGTGCCCTGGAGTCGACGTTGGATGTTCTTGTCAAACGGGTTCGATGACAGTATCCTGTATATTCCTGGAGGGTGTGTGATTGGGGCCGATAAATAATGGCGCTCGGTAACCTGTAGCAGCAGCTCAGGGTAGAGCAGGAAACCGTTTTTGTGCCCTGGAGTCGACGTTGGATGTTCTTGTCAAACGGGTTCGATGACAGTATCCTGTATATTTTGCTCGTTTGCCGCCAATTTGCTGTCTAGTTATGTTAGCAAGCTTTGCTTGGTTCTTGCCGGCAATCTGCCAGCTTAATCGGTAATAATAACTCTTGCACCAAATTTGTAGCCTTTTTGCTGACAATAATTTGTAACAAGCACTTGGCAATATCTGTTAGAACAGACGTGGCTGACTGGGATATTAATTCATAGTGTAGTGATATAGTATAATAACGCTTTCTTTGTGGAAACGTTTTATAATAATTTGTTTTTAACTAGTTATTATGAAGTTATCAAATTATTGTTATAATTAAATTTTGAATAATATTGAAAGTTGATAATTATTAGCAAGGAATGTAAGAAAAATGTTTTAACAAATTATTATTGCGCGCATTTTACGATTCCATAAAGAGTGGTGCGCATATTCCTTATTTTATTTATTTTAATCCTATTCTTTGTATTCTTAAAGATGAAGTGCTAGTATCGCTGATTATATTAAAGCTCAATCGCGGGCTCCTTCTTAAAGTAACCGCCGGTCAGTTCTAGAATGTTACTACTGCGCCGATTGGCAGCAAAAACCAAGCAGAATATGACAAAGTATTACAAAATTCTATTATTTGAAATAGTATAGTTCAGTCGTTTACCGCTATGCGGCGTGTTATTCATATCTATACTCGTATTCAAGTTTTTGTCATGAGTGTATATAAAGCCTGCAAAATGTGACTAATAATATTGTAATATATCTATCTCTATCAGTTCAATTTTTGACACGATGCCTATACAGGATAATTCAAATATTGAACTGATTTTTGGAAAATCGAACAAATAATTGTTCGATTTTTACTTATTCGGGCAATTCCTGTCCAAAAAAATCTTTAATTTTATAAATCAAATTATTTAAATTTACCTATATGTTTTAACACATTAATATGTATTATTATATATTAATACTGTAACTGATCTAATTTTTGTCGACGAAAGTTGCCGAAGATCTGCTGGGCATTTGGCGCAAATTTGTTGTCGGTCTGCGGTTGACAAACCTGCTCTCGATTTGTTGCGTCAATCTGTCGTCGCACTGCTAGTGACAGATCTGCTCTGGTGTTGTACCTATTTTGACATCAGGATATGATTTCAACTTTTGGTTGCAATAGGGGCGCACTCGAGGACACAGTAGGCCCTGAATTTGGCAGCCTCGTTCTATAGGGAATTGTTTGCCGATTGTTAACAATCCGTAAGCAAATGGTTAGCTGGGATAAGTCTTAGATCAAACGTCTTAGATGTAGATAATAATACGCAGTCTGATATAATGCCAGAAAAAGTTTCTGATACACATAACAATATCCAATCAGACAGCTGTGAAGAGAGTAGGTTCTAAACTTTTAAATTATTATTTTCTTTAATATCTGTATTTCTTTTTATTTTTAATATTATATTAATTTTTAGTTTTGTTAGTTTTGTTAACAAAAATACATGTAGTTATATTGTTATATTTATATTTATAGATTGTCTATTTCGTTGGTCAGAAGCATGTGTTCTTCTCTTATTGCGAACATATGAGGAGATGGAAGAGAAATTTAATAATGGAAAATTGTCACATAAAAAATGTTGGGAGCTATTTGCTCAAGTATTAAAAGATAAGGGATACAATGTAACAGGGCCACAATGTGCCTCAAAGTTCAGAGGTTTAAAAAACATACAAATCAATAAAGGATCACAATTCAAAATCAGGAAACGATCGACGAACATGGCAGTATTTTGAGGTTCAGAACAATTTTTTATTGGCATTGTTTCTTCTAAAATCTATTTAAAATTAATAATTCCTAATTTTATCTACAATCAATTTTAAAGTACATATAATTTGATAGATAATTATATAAATCCTATATTGAATTATAAATATCAGATTTAAATAATTTTTGTGATAATATGTATAATTTCATACAATTATAATAACAAATATATATAATTTCCTGTTTTATAGATTATGGATAACATGTTTTCAAAAAAAGCCTGGTGTAAACCTACAGCACTTGCTTCGTCCACTGGTCTATGAATTAAAAATACAAATTCAGAAGAATCTTCATCTTCGTCACAGTTTCCATATGATTCTGATGCTGAAAAGGAAAATGATCTGCCTAAAAAGAGTATGTTGAATTTAAATATAAAGATTAAAAAAATATATATGTGTAATTACGAATATATTTCAATTATGGATAAATTTTAATTTTCATTGAATAATTGATATCCATATATATAGATTGTAATTAGACAAAATTGTCTTAAAATATTTTGAATTAATCAGAAGGTCCATTCGATTTTTGTCAATACATCTATTGATAACATCCGAACGCGAACTTTCTGACAAACTCAATAATTACACTTATTTTCATTCTGTATTATATTTAGATGTTAACATATATTAAATATTTCATTTATTTTCCAGGAACAAAACCCACAAAAACATCTGTAAACGAACTTCTGCAACAAAGATTAGAGCAAAAAGAAGAGCACGATCGTAAAAGACAGAAACTTCACGACGAAAGAATGCTTATAGAAACAAAGTTGCTTGACACTCTTACACAATTTTTAAATAAGGTTGAATAATGTCAATGGCATAAAGATGTCTTTATTTGACATAGTTTATTTTAAATTTATTTTAAATTCATACTTTATTTTTTCTTATAAGATTTTGAAGATAGTACAAAATATGAGTGATATATTTGTTAACTATACTGTGAAAGATTTTTATTTCAGTTATTTTTCGTACATTGCTTTATTTTTATGTTATGTAAAATACATATAGGTATTAAAATTATATGAACAATATACAGGGTGTTCCATTTTAAAGGAGCCAGTCAAATATCTCGAAAAATATGGAAGATACGGAAAAACGTTTCAGACAAAAGTTGTTTGGTTCGAAGGAAGACATAAGATGGTGCCATTGATGTGACCTTGGATTGTCATTTGAAGGTCACATGAAGGTCACATTCAATTTCTTAAATGAAAACCTCTATTTTTTATTGCATATTCTTATAGCTTATGCCAAGAGCTTTCCAAAACACTATAATAAAGTATTTTTTCATTAAGTACTTTTTGAGTTATTTTATATTTTAATCTGACATATTTTGATATAAAAAATAAAATATCTCGTAAGCGTAGCGAATAAATCGTGACTAATTAGCGAACCAGCAAATAGAGCCATTAGAAATAGCGCAATAAGCCCTATAAGAGTAGCAGTAGAAGCACTCCGGCCCTCGCGTAAATACGATAAATAAATATTGCAATTATTGTAAAAAATCCGGACATGATCGCGAAGAATGTTGGTTATTGCACGGACGACCCAATAGAGATCAACCGAGCCGAACCAAACAATATAATTCGCAACCGGAAAATAAAAATCGTAAGAGCAACGAGCAAGGAAAAAAGAAATTTAACTCCGCGCACAGCAGTAACGAAACAAGAAAGAAACGAAAAAGCGACGACCCG